GTCCCGGTGACGACGACGGTCGCGATCGCGATCACGACCACGACCACTCACGCGCTCACGCGAGCTCGCACGCACGTATTCACGCACGTGTACACGCACGGGAGAGAAAGAGAGAAAAGAGAAAGAGAGAGAGAGAGAGAAAGAGTGAAAAAGAGCGCCAGGAACAGCCGCTGATGCCGCGATGAGGCTAGGCCCGATTATCCTGTCGTGGGTCACGGCCACGGCCGGCTGGCTGGGCCCGTCGAGCGGAATCACGGCGACGGCGATGGCGACGTCGCGCACCTCGCGCTCCCGGGACTACGAGCTCTCGACGGAGTTCTTCCTGGTGCCGTCCGAGATCGGGCACGGCCTGGCGAGCGTGGCGAGCGTCATCAGCGTGCCGGCGCCGAATCGGACCATCACCGTCTTCAGGACGCCGCCGGGCGTCAGGAAGAGCCAGGAGGTGGACATGCGACCGACCCCGAAGTCCTTGCTGAAGCAACGACCCTGGGCCCTGCCGCTCGCCGCGCTCAGCGCCGCGGCGATGCTCCTCATGGCCGGCTTCGAGGTCTTCGTATTGTTCAAGGTAGGCCCGGGGTTACTTAACAATTAATGCATATATTATCTCTCTGTTCGCTCGTTGTTTTTTTTTTTGCATTATTTTTTGATGAAAAAAAGAGGACTACATCCCAGGGCGGACGATAAATAACGAGCTCTTGTCTCTTTTCTTCTCTTTGTATTGTGAACATTTCCCAAAATATTTCTATGCTATGATGGATTATGAGTATATGGAGATTTCATGCGGCGGAATGTGATACAATCTATAATATTATGTATCTTCATAATTAGGCTTTGTAACACGAGATCTCTTGATTTATTGATCGCTTGAGAATGCGATATTAATCTTTTCTTAATTATTTGTCGAGCCATCAGATTATATCTGTTTTAAACGCGCAAGTCCCATCTTTCAATTTATTCCGTCTCATTTAGTTCAGTTTATATTCCACACATTCGCCGTATAATTATGCTACCTGTCTGCTGCGCGTGTACTTACTTGTTTTTTTTATAATCATTATCAGAATTTATTTTAGATTTAATTTTTATTCAAGAGTGTAATAAATATTATTATCCGTTCGCTCGCTCTCGCGACGTCTCAATTTCACTTTTCCGCGGACGAAAAATGTGCGTGCGAGGCGATGCTGAGGAGGAAACTGGTCCCGCGGGTGAAATGAAACGCGTAAACGTCGGGCCAGGACTTGTCACTCGGATCGCGCAATTGCGGGATTAATAGAGCTCGGAAAGGAACTCGTCTATCGCGCGTCGGCCGGCCTCTCCCCGCCGACCCACTATTAATCGTTTTCGTTTCGACAAGCTCCAGTAACCGGCACCGAGGGAATTTCGCCGAGACCTAGGCCCAGTTTACGCTCACGTCAGACCGGCCCCGGTTTTCTCCCGGTCGCACCCTCCGACACGCTCCATTAAGCACTCTCGGCGAGAAAGACCAAGCTATAGCCAACACTGTCGGATTTAATTGGTATCGGAAATTCGAAATTTTAATCCAAGAGAAAGTAAATCGAAAACGATTGAATAAACAAAAATTAAAGTTTGATTAATATGATATATATATAGTAACTCACAAAATTCAGTAAGCGTTCTGAAAATTTCGCGAAAATTTACTTAAAAGTTTAGCATTTTTATTTTACAAGTATATTCTCAGACGCACGTATATCCAAAATCAGGACATAAGACGTCTTATGTCCTAATTTTGGACATACATATATGCTGTCTGGATTATTCCTTTTCTCTTTCTCTTTCTTTCTCTCTCGATAATACAAAAATTTCTTTATGACAACATGTGGTTGTTTTCATTTTTTCTATTCATTTATTATGTATAAAGAAAAAGTATAGAATTGCAATAATAAAAGTAGTGAAAAGTATGAAAAATAATCTATTAATTTGTAAATAAAAAGCGAGTCGGTGAGAGAAGAAGGATATCGGTTATTTTAATTGGAGAAATTAACATCGGCTCCACGTGAGCTCACTTCAAGTTTAATCCGCGCATAATTATGACGCGCGAGCGGTTACGGTCCACTCCGCGCGATTCGCATTTCGCGTCTCGATTCTCTTTACGGAATTAATAGCGTGAGAGCGCGATATATGAAGATCGGTACTTCCAGGACTCTTGAAAATGCACTCTTGTATCTTACAGAGTAGTACGTACGCGTCAAACCACCCGAGCGTACCAAACGACTCGATGAAAGTGCATTTTGTACTTTAAATGTAAACGTATAGTGCGACGTCTAGCACGACAAAGTACAACTTTAAAACAGCGGCCACAAGTTTAGAATCAATTAGTTAGAATGTCAACATCTCGATATTATAACGCTACAGATATAACAGACTGTCGAGACAGCAAAATGAGAAATACTAATGCTAATGACTTAGCGATTCAAATGTCTCGGTTCCGGTATTAACAATAAGTTGGAGTACTACCGCATATCATGCCGGTTTCATCCGGCCACTTAATGTCACTTAAATACTAAAACTTAAAATATTTTGATGTAAAATTTAAAAGTTTTTGAAATCTTTTTTCATTTTTAAGATTGTAAAAACATATTTTTAAAATATTTTATATTTATAAAATTGATGAATTTATCAAGAGTTTGTCTCGAAAATTGAGCGGTTCGTATAGAAATTCTAAGTTAAAAAAACTAAAATCAGAAGACTCAATAAATTAAAAATCTTTTCCGAATATAAAAAAAGATGTTTGTATGTATCTTTAAAAGAGCAAAAATAAAATAATGTATATGCAGCATGCGCACTGTCAAAAAGATTTTCTTCGCGTCTCTCATATTAATTTGAATTTTGTTCAAAGAGCTAATGTGATAAACATAAAATTATAAAGATTATCTTTTGAATTGCAAAATGATTTTTTATCACACTAAGAAAACTTTTTAATGGCAAACCTTTTAACATCCTAGGCTAGAGCAACGGCACCGAATAGACGACACTTGTTTCTGGGCCAGGCGTTGCTTCTGGGCCTCTTCCTCTTGGCGGGTCTCTCGGCCGCAGCCTCGCTCAGCCAAAATCCGCTGTCCTGCGCCGCTTTCCGGTTGGTAGGTCTCCCCGCCGCCCTCGTGTTCGCCGCTCTGCTGGTCAAATGCGTTTTCCTGCTCTCGTTGAACAGCGGCGTGTACCTGCCGGCACCCTATCAGGTGAGCGATCATATACAGAGTGTTCCAGAATCATGAACGATTCGTCGATTAAATTTAGCATTCGTTCAATTTTGTATCTTACAAATTTGCTATCGCAGTTTCTAATAATAAGCAACGCAGACTCGATGATATCTCAGATTTATATTTCTCGTGTTATAAGTAATTATTTCGACAGACTATCGTTTCGAAGCCTATCAAAATAGCCAGCACGGAGAGTCGAAAGTTAAAAAGATATCGAGGAATCTATATCGGTCGAAGGAGTGGCGAAATGATTTCAGAACGGAAGACGAGCACCGGTAAGATGCCACACGCGCTAATCAAAGTAGGCGAGATGCGCAAGAATGTAAATTGTAACGTTATTTTATTCGTCTCCTCCCGCAGTCCCGGAGAAATTGCGCGCAATGGAGCGACGCGACGCGATCTCCGTCGATTTTTCCGGCGTGTCCGCACCGATCCGGATATTCCGATTCATCTCGCATGGTCATTTGTACGTCGCGAACGGGTCCCGGATCCTTCCATCACCCTTCTCCCCCTTTTCCCTACGTTGCGTCATCATACCGTACGCGCGACGATTAATTACAGACGCGCGCGCGCGCGAAAAACTACGGAGGCAATTATCGCGGCGGTGTGTTGGTGCGCGCGTTGAATGACAGGCGTGGCAGGACGTGCGCTTCTCGCCCTGCGGAGCTGGCCTCCTCCCCATAGGATAAACATCCATTTTTCACGTTCGACGTGCTCCCGCCTACTCCCCGGCGCCTCGAACTCGGTGGATCGCTTTTACAAGGTGGAGAACTCTTCGAAAAACGCACGCGCGCGCGCGCGCGCAAGAACGAAATCGGAACGGTATATGCTCCGCGCTGACAAGATGCACCGTCCGGTAAAATGTAATTACATTCGCGTAATTAAGAAACGCTGCCGTTGAAATGTTTGATTAGAGGAAAGTGGTGGCTGGCCGATACGCGCGAGTGACATTAATAGGATTTTAACGATGTAATTATAGCCCTTGCGTCTGTGTGTAATCTTCTGTCCTTAAGGCGGGGAATATACAAGAGCGGAGATTAAATTTCCCGAGAACGAGGAACACACGTGTATTATACCTGCGTTGAAAGTTGGAAATTTTTCACGCGCGTATATGTCCCCCTCGAGTAGACCTATATTCTATTTCTCATACGTCACGCGCGTTTGACGTCACACGCGTTTAAAAGAATGCACGCCGGCGGTGCCGATGTCACCGCAGGCCGTTCACCTTTAATTAAAGGCGATCGACCAGGGGTAGACGGCCGCGTGAATCTTATAGAGGGGAAGTGTAATCGTGCGAGGGCCTTTCTTGTCTCGGTTCTCGATGCTGCAGGCGCTGGTGCTGGTGTTCGCGGTGTTGGTGCAGGTGGCCATTGTCGGGCAATGGTTTTACGGCGAACCACCTGCGGTGATCCAGGTGCAGCAGCAGCAGCAGCAGCAGCAGCAGCAAGCGACGGGCCAAAGCTCGCCGGCGTCCACCACCTCCTGCAGGACCCCGCTCGGACAGATAGTGGCTTCCCTCGGGTAAACTTTCGCGCGGATATATATAAAACTCTCTTCTCCAATTCCCCGAGGGGCAAGTCGAATCGATCATGACCATCTATCTTCGCGTGAGAACCGTGAGAACGCGTATTATTCGCATTACTTACTAGTTATACCTTCCGCTATTATTCTGCAACTTTTTGCCTTTATAATGCCCTTCGTACTTCGAGCGAATTGAATTTATCGAAGTTAATTATTATTTTCAAGATATTATTATTAGCATCCGCGCGATGCAGCGCCATGATTTTTTTCCAACTGTCATTCGCTATGTATAATAGGTAAATGAAATTCGTTTCCTCTCCACGGTCGTCTCCGCGTGAATTTCAGGTATCCCGGAGCACTGTTAGTGGCAGTGGCGTGTTTAGCGGTCCGTGCGCGGGGCGTCCGGGACAATAATCGGGAAGCGGCCTTCATCGGTCTGGCGGTCGGCCTCTCGCTACCGATCTGGATCTCCAGCGGGATCGGCACGCTCGCGGCCGGCAACGAGGGCGACCGGGAGGCCTGGCTGGCCTACGGCCTGCTCGCCACGTCGCTCTTCGTCTTCCTCACGATGTTTCTGCCGAAGGGACGCCAGCTAGCCGCCCTGGGTCGCGAGGGACCGGCCGCGGTCATACGCGATCGCGACGACGCTCTCAGCTCCCTCCCCGGCAGCGGCTACTCGCCCTCCTTCTTCCACTTCAAGCCCGCGGAGGCGTCCCTGAAGAGGAAGATGCATTACCACAGTGCCGGTAGGTCTCGTCGAGTCTTTTCATTTCAAATAAACACGGATAACGAGAATGAAGCCGTTCATAATAATGATACGTTCAACAGAAGATGCGCAACAATATTATCGCGGCGATCTCTCTCTCTCTCTCTCTCTCTCTCTCTCTCTCTCTCTCTCTTGCTCATCCGAATATCCAAGTTTCTCTCACCGCGCACGCACGTTTCGCGATTACGCTTCTCGGAGCTGCAGCGCGCAACGTTCCGATTCGTTTGCTCGATACCCGCAGGGATAAATCTTCAGGTCATCGCGCGGTAGCCGCTAAAAGTGCGGACAACGTAATCGCGCGCCGAATAACGGAAATGCGGTCACGACCGGCGGGATCGGCGGCGCGTGAAACGTGAATAAATGGGTAAGCGAGAAAGTAAATAAACGGAACGCGTATTTTCATCGCGCAAAAAAAAAAATAGAGCAGCAATTCCCCACGATCGATAACGCGAAAACGCGATTCGTGATAGCGATAATTGCGCGCGTGCAGAAAACGCATTGTGTGTGCGTGCGCTACTTAAGAAATTGAGTTGCAGACAGATATCGCTTAAATCTGATCGAAGATCCGGATGTCCCTTTAAATAACGTAACCGTCAGCCACGGGATAGAGACGGTGGGCTTAAATCGAGCGTGATTAACTATGGTAATCGGCTAAGACGGCGGTCCCTAGAGTATACATGGTAATGGCATCGTAATTCGCGTAATCCTCTTTCCCCTGCCGCCCCCTTCGCCCTTCCACGAGATTATCGTAACGTGGAAACTTCTAATTATAGATCGAGTCGCACTGGTCTCGTCCGGGATACCTGGATGCAGCGCCTGCAGGCACGGAGGAAGTCCCATATACTCGGACGGTAAGCCCGTTATTATTTATTTTCAGAAATCAGTCGACCGATTATTATTACGTGCCGTATGCAAAACTATCCTGTTGCCGTGGCGTAACGTATCGCGGCGCAAAGGCCCCGTCATATAGGTGCCCCGCGAGACGCATTGCATTTTCACCAGTTACGGTATGTATGTCGTCGGTGTCCTTCGCGTCACGCAACGGCGCGGGAAGGTCTGTGACGGAACACCGATAAAAGTGACATCGACCCGAATGTAATTAGCATAACGATCTTGATTCTTTCACGTTCCGGCGGAACATGCGTGTCCCAACGTGATTAAGAAATTATATTTTCGGTAAATGCTGAGCTAAGATCAAACAAGGATATTTTAGAGGGGATTACTTTAAATTCTCATAAGAAAGTATGCGATAGAATTATTATAAAATACTAAAAAATGACTTGTATAATAAAGTCAGAGAAATTTCTCGGATTAACCATAAGAGTTTCGAAATAGCGCGCAGTGTTACTTTCGCGTGACGAAATATGATTCTGATGATATAAATTTCTAATGATATTTATAGTATATATAAAGTATAAATTAAACTTTCGAGTCTCATGTATATTTCCTTATCATAATTAATACTTGCAGATATATGATATAGATTAGGTTTGAAAACCTGGTTTCTAAATCACCAACTATGTAGTTGTTACCAATATACGTTTTATATTTCAGTTATATTATATCCATGATCTTGAAATTTTACATATTCAGTAACTAGAAAACTTTAAAAATAATTAAACTAGGTATACTTCCATTGAAAAAAAATCTGACGACGTGAAAGGATTAAATTTTATTATAAATTATAATCTTCGCGTGAGGACATCTCATTTCAAAAGAATCTGACGTTGGCAGGCGCAAAATATGTCGTTCTGCGCTTTTTTCCGCTCATTTTTTTTATCTTCGGTTGAGAGAAGTCGGCTTAAACATGCACCACCGCCGAGAGTATTCGCTGTACGTCGCGCGTATCGTCCGCAGAATCTCGACACTTCCTGTCCTGCCCGCGCATTTCCTGGCCCGAAACTTTTCCTTCGTCACGCTAACGCCCTCGGCGACCTTCACCTCGAGGTGCGAACGAACGAAAGGGAGGAAAAGCGACGGGAGGGAGGGGTCGCGCGGCGGCGGAGAAAAGAGAGGGAGAAAGTCTGCGGCGGAGGTCAGTCGCTCCTCGCTTCACGATGTTGGATACGCCGTGGTAGGGGGAATAAATCCCGTTAGATTGTGGACCATGCCCTCGTGAAACGACGAGGCCAATCGCGGTGACAAAAAAATCCGGCGCTAAAGCGAAATGATCGCGACGCGGATCGCGCGCGCGTTTTCCTCGCTCGCGGCCGATATCTCGCGGGGACGTACTGTGTATACAGCGCGTGGCTTTTCCTCGTCTTTCCTCCGTCCGCGAATCCGAGTTTCCAGGTATATTTCCCTTTGGAGAGAACAACAACATTAGCGGGAGTTTCACACTTTCTAGAGACACATAATGGAAAAGCACGCGCGCGCGTGTACGAGTTTCTAGATCCTATTCAGGTCTATTCGAAGGGAACGCGCTATTGTAACGAGGTCACGTCCGTTACTCAACCCGTGTTATAGGTGCGAGCCAGGGGCAAATAATAAGAAAAAAAAAAGAAAAGCAGGAGATGAGAAAGAAAAAGTCTCCCGTCGATGCACATCATCGGCGAATCACACGAGATCATTTCTCAAACGCGCGCGAACTCCTCGTACAACACGACCGAGACGTACGTATAGATCATAGCGCTGGATCGTAAATCACAGCTGGATGACTTTCACCCACGCGCGATACGCATTTACGTTAAAGACCCCGGCGCGTGTCCATTCAGCGAGGAACGACGTAGCACACTTTGTAAAACGAGTGTACGTCAACGGTCGGTCGCGGCCGTTAAGCCGTGATGCGATCCTCCACGTCGGATCTGCGAGAAATCGAGAAACACGCCACTTTCGCCCGGAGGATTCGACAACGGCCCTGTTCTTCTCTCATAAGAGCGAGCAATTTCTCGCGGACGTTACTCCGTTCCCGAGTAGGTTGCACGCACGTCTCCCGACGAAAATTTCTTTACGTTCTTCTTGCGGGGCTCGATCATTATTACGAGCAAGGCGTGAAATATGCAAGAGATTACGAGAGAGGCGAAGGTCGCTAGCCTCCTCGTCGAGACCGGGTACGCCAAGCTGGTTCACGACCCTCATTACGCGAGGCACGACATCTCGCTGACAGAAGCTTCCTTTATCATTAGCCCGTAGCGCGTAGCACAACAAACGCGAACACGAAGAAAATATCCTGGTAAAAATAGCAATGAAACTCTTTTTTTTTCATTCCGGAATATATCGACATTATGACGGGATATCAAATATATATATTTTTAATATATGTACGTTTTATATTGTAACGAAAAGATTGTTGTACGTAGTTATTCGAATATTATTTTGATGTGCAATTTATAAAACAATCAGATTTCACTAAAGCGAAAAAGAATTCTTACAATTAACATGAAAATTAGGATAATATAGCAATTTTAACAAAACTGATTACAATGTATAAGCATACATATTACAACTTTTTATGGCTACAGTCTTTTATATGTAGCACAGTTAAAAATATTTGTATAATATGCACTTTTGCTAATCAGAAATATATATATAATTGATTGTCAGCTATTGTTACATTTATAATTAATATTAACATATTATATATTAATTGTTATCGTCATGTTACATATTAATAGTCATTGCTTAATAATAAATATTATAATGTCGTTATATTCCACAAAATATTACAAAAAAAAAAATCATTTTCATACATCTTTCTATCGTATACATCTTTCCACGGTCACGTGGAAAGAATGCAACATCAATCGAAAAATTCAATGTAAAAAAGAAATATAGTATCCGCAACTTTATTGCATTTCTTTCAGAAGATTATCTTTAATTTTTCATAAGAAATTATGTTAAAAGTGTAAGGAAAATACAGTTTAATTACACTTTACAGATTAGACTACACATGTCGAGGCAAAGACGAACTCGCGTAATCGCTTTGTAAACGACAGCTGTGAACGGCGGGACCTACTTTAAGACCGGTGATTTTAAATTACAGTCGCGCTTAACGCGTGCGGCGTAACGAGGACTCCGTCCCGGTTATGCACAACGCGATTTCGATTCCTGCGTATATCTCAATAGGCACCGTAATTTATTTATTATCGCGAGGCGAAAATGATAGCCACGCTAGATAGATGTAGACACGCGGCACACGGAAAGTTACGACCGGATATGCGGTCTCTCCGATCGATACTCGAATAATAAAGCGTTTCCGGTGGACGTAAACGCGAGGCGATGCATGCCGTATAGGGGCGGTTCGCTCCAGTTTTCCGAAACTCTCATTCTCGATTTTCTCTTCTACAAATTAATTACTCGGCAGTTAAGCATTATCGGAGGAAAAACGCGAGCACGTATATATACATGTATCTCTACACCTGTTTCCAGATGTACACGGACCGATGGAGACGTTCGTTTTGCCACCCGGTATGTACTTGAGGCCGGAGGACGCCGGGAATCTCTACACGACCTTGTCGGCCAATCCCAACGTGTTCTTCCAAAGGGCTGCTCATCCCGGAATGATGTATTGAATCGAAACTTATCGTCGAACGTCCAAGACTCGTATATGATACGCGTGTCGCGTCCTCGGAGATTAGACTACGGACAAGCGCGATTGTTGATCTCTCGTTATTGTAAATAATCATCGTTATCAGGATCTTGGTGAACGACTCTACATATGTATCTTCTCTGTAACTCGGACGATCATCGCGGGAGTGTATCCCGCGCCAGATACGCGTACGCGATCAATTCGCTGCAGATCGCCGCGAGCAATAAATGAGCCTGCGTGCCGCGAATCACCGATGCGAGAGACTCGAACTGGCAGTGTATGTACTATACGTGCCTCCAGAATAATGCAATAAATGTTACGACACTTTTTTTTTTAATACGAGAAACATCATTTTTCCCCGCTCATCTTCGATGCCTGCGGATGAATCTCTCCCGACGACACGCTTGGAGAACATTCCCGCCAACTGTCTCTTTAATGATAAATGATTAATCGAAAAATAAAGATCATTGTTTAATGATACTGCGATTATACAAGCGACAGAATTTTTAACTTTTAAAAAAAATCACTTCTTCGATGAAGACTTTGACCAAATTCGATTAACTTAGCGGCAATTAATTTAACCGACAAAATTGCTTATAATTCATCGTCTCTGATCTTTCTTTTCACGTGTCGAGCAACAAAAACTTAATTCTACGTGCCTCCAGAATAATGCAATAAATGTTACGACACATTTTTTTTTAATACGAGAAACATCATTTTCCCCGCTCATCTTCGATGCCTGCGGATGAATCTCTCCCGACGACAGGCTTGGAGAACATTCCCGCCAACCGTTTCTTTAATGATAAATGATCAATCGAAAAATAAAGATCGTTTAATGATACTGCGATTATGGAAGCGTCAGAATTTTTGACTTTCAAAGAAAAATCGTCTCTAATTCGATGAAGACTTTGACCAAATTTGATTAACCTATAAGCTGCAATTAATTTAATCGACAAAATTGTTTACAATTCGTCGTCCCTGATATCTTTCTTTTTATGTGTCGAGCAACAAGAGGTTAATTCTATGCGCGTTGACAAAATATAAGTATTTTACTTGACAAATTGACCACCGATTAAAAATTAATCGAAGTTTGGAAAGTGGAAATTTGATTAGATTCGTGAAAGGATCCGTCATTTTTAATTGGCGCGATGCTCACTTACGGTATCATGCTTTTATGTGGCAAGGAGGTCAGAGATCGCGACGCAATGACGAGGAAAATCATAGAGTAGACCAATTGTACATACATTGGCACTCGATCGCAATATTCGCAATCGATCGAGCCAGCGCGCGTGTAGCTGCAGGTGAAGTCGCATAATGACAGATGTCACGTGGAACGAGGAGGAATAGTGGGGAAGATCGTGGAGCGCTTCGGGGAGGGCCGGGAGGGGAGCCGTCTTCCCCCAACTGCCTCCAGTGCACTTGTCAACAACATGGTTCCGTAGACGAGGCATCGTGCGTACCGAATCGCGTGACCAGATGTTGCTCGCGGCAACAAACACGACGTGTCTCGCTGGCGGTGCGACGGTACCCTCGCGGTCGGCATAGCCGCGGATGAAAGTACGACGATGCACACGAGTTCCTAACCTGGCGATGAGCTCCCCATCGCTGTGCGGAGTCATCGCGACGTGAATCCGTTCCCTTAGCTAGCTACGCGAATTACGTAAATTCCTCGTAAAATCACCTTGCCCCTCCTCGTGTCGTGGAGAACCTCCGAAATGGCGTGTCCAGTGGAACGGCTGAGGTCCGTATACATTCCTGTTTTCGTAGGTTATATCTCGCGGACGAACGAATGCAATCTGTCTCTCAATGCGCTTCTTTTTACACCTCGTAGAATTTACTTCGTCACGTACAACGTGGCCACGAAGTTCCCGGATCCCAGGCAGGATCTTCATCAGCTCCTGGGCATCGCACCCCACGACGAATCACAGTCATGGCCAGATTTATATTTCGTTGGGTACGTCCGAAATGCTTCTCTGCACATGTCAGATTCGGTGGATAAAGCGTGTATACCTTTAGTTTGGATGATAGAAGCTCGACATGTTCAACTTCAGTTTTTTGAATGTCAGCTCCCGTTATCGGAACAGTCTGTTATCAGAACTAGTAAATACGTCAGCTATTACTGAAACTAATAAGTAAGCTTCTATTATCCGAATTATTCAGTCATTGGAATTATTTTGTCCCCTGACACGTTTAGATAAAAGTTCTACTGTAAAATGTCTAAATGATTGACCTTTAGTTTACAGGAAGTTAAATCACAACCACAGAATATAGTGTTAGACTATATACTATTCGAGGATCCGTGGACTAAAGCCTTCAGGTAAGTCTGTCAAGATAATGCTGACTTGTATCGCAAATGTACAATTATTCACTACGTATACATTCATTCAGGAGATGAAAATTAAATGCGCTGACATGTTTGCAGAGACGTCCTGAAGAAGTATGATTATGTAAAAATACGTTCGCAACGATTACAAGGTCTCGTTCTGAATGCTTTCTGTCTGAGGAAACACTTGACGCATTTAAGATTGATAGAGGCTCAGTACACCAAGACAGGTCTCGGTGGCATGTGGGTAAGAAGACAGTGTAACAACGGCAATCCTTCCTGTTCGACTAACGTCGTTTATCCTCAGGGGAACAAGGGTGCAGTGAGCGTAAGAATGAATGCCTACGGAGTCAGCGTTTGCGTGGTGAACACGCATTTGACTCCTCATGACCACTTGTTAGCCAATAGAATAGCAGATTATAATACCATCGTGACAGATCATGCTTTCACTGCTTCGTTCACATCGAGAATATTATATCACGAGTATGAATTTTTTTTTAATGTTGAAATAGACATTTTACAGTAGAACTCTGTCTATTTATCTAAACGCATCGGGGGACAAAATAATTCCGATGACTGAATAATTCGGATAATAGAGGCTTACTTATTAGTTTCAGTAATAGCTGATGTATTTACTAGTTCTGATAACAGACTGTTCCGATAACGGGAGCTGACATTCAAAAAACTGAAGTTGAACATGTCGAGCTTCTATCATCCAAATGGTTCGGATAGTAAGAGCTCAGTTATGAGTTCATATATTTGAAACTGACACAAATTTGTTCGTATAAATGAAGTGTGGATGGAAACAAAGTTCTACTGTATATTATTCAAGTAAAATGTCAAGTTCTAAATAATGTCAGTAATACGCTCCTTTTAGTTATATATTTTGGATCGGTGACTTAAACTTTCGACTGAACGGAGAAGAATTAACTGCCGCCGATATAGATTTACTGGTGAAGAAGAATCAATTGAACGAACTACTCGAAAGAGACCAGTTGATGATGGTAATGAAGGAGCAACAAGCATTCGCTGAACTAAATGAAAGTAGTATCACATTCCCGCCTACTTACAAATACGAGTTCGAGTCCCTGGAATTTGATCTCAAGTAAATTATATAAATCTGAATATATAGTGCTTAAAAATGTGAAATGTAAATTTACGCTCTCTTTAATGACATTTTCTATCATTATTTTCTGTGCAGGCGTAGACCATCTTGGACCGACAGGATTTTATATAAAGTAAATGCAGCAGATATATACGAAGACATAGAAATTCACATTGAGCAGCATTCTTACAAGAGTCATCCGAATTACAGTGTTTCGGACCACAAACCTGTAACTGGAGAGTTCGATATTGTGGTAAAAACACAATCTTTGTCGCTATATGTTTCCTTTTTCATCGAGCTATATGTGAGTGACGAAACTTTTTTTTCTTTTTTTAGGTCAGACCTAATGTCAAAGATCACATTGTGGAATTCCAAGACTGTACCGTGGAGGAAAATTTTATATCTTACAAACTGCAGAGAGATTTCATTCCAAGCAGCGGGGACTGGATAGGTCTCTTTCTTAACGAATTCTCCAGTTTAGATGACTATATCATTTACGAATACGTTAGTCGCGGTAAGTCATTTCGTTACATTCTGACGTTCATTTAATATCATTGTTGCTAGTTAAGTGTCTCCTAATAATTACATTTAATAACATTGTCGCTAGTCAAGTATCTCCTAATAATTACTTAATATCTAGGTAAACCAACGTCAGTTTCTGACGAACCTCACGCAAACACGGAACGAATATCATACAATGACTCGGCACTTCGTCTGTCGGAGATGTACTGCTTGGTGTACGTAGCTCAACGAGGAGATCTTATGGAGATTTTGGGCGTGAGCCCGGAATTTTCGGGCCCTCGTAGATCCGCCGAGCAATGCGTTTTATCTACATAAATTTTATATAGCGAAAAATCAATTCACTTAAAAGAACGCTTACGATGTGATCGATAATAGTTTTACCGAGAGGTTAGATAGATCAAGCTTCGTGCAATTTTCTAGATGGGCGAATTTTTCGACTCGATTCTTTTTTACGATCTTATTACCACAATCTTTCACGGGGAAATAAAGTTGTAGGGATTGAAATAGGTTCACTGCTCTAAGTTGTGTGAGTAGAAAAGTTAAGTGATTCAATACGGCCTTTAATCAGTGGGTGCTTTTGGTACGGTGTGGTAAGTTTATAAATTAAAAACATCGCCGAAAACGATGTCTCGTGTTAAGAGTTAGTTGTTACTTTTGGTACCTGGTTTTTGCGCTCTCAGGGTGCGTCGCGGCACTGCCGCTTAGAATGCGTCGCGGCGTTTTTAATCGTCCGCTTTAGAGCTTGCAGTGGGTGCACCGTCACGGTTTCTCTACACGTGGAAGTTTCCCCGATCCATTAACGCCCATTGTTATTAGAGAATAGGATGGAAATGTAATTTTGTCCTGCCTACGTTAATGGATTATGTACGAGTGCGCTCACGTTGTACATCATGAATATATTTCCTTAGCATAATTTTTAGCGGAGAATTTTAATTCTAATAAGATACGCTCGCAAAAAAATTCATATTTGTTATATATAATATATATATATATAGTGTGCCGTCAGAACAAATTAAACGATCAAATGTACACTGTGGTTTTAAAGGGAAATCAAGAATAGAGAATATTAATATTTTTTATTCGTCTCGACTCATTTACCTCATCGTTTTATATTATGCATGATTTATTCAATAAATTAATGTCTACCATGGCAATAAATAATGTGCTAGCTACGTACGGAACAACAATGTAATACGATAACAATATTATATAAAACCTGTTTTCTACTGAATCCGGTGCAATATGTGTTAACACGCGATGTATTAACACGAGCTTATAATTGTGTATAAACACGTTTTGACGTATCTATTCATTATTCAATATTCTGCTTGTGTTTTCGTAACTTATTTGTAATGAATAAAATTAACGAACCGCGTAACGCTGGATTTCATGAGATAAAGACTTCGCACAACATTGTTATTGTATTGCGTTGTTATGTCGTTCAACGAAGTAAGCGACGTCTAAGTACAAAGGTATGATGATCGATGTATGAATATCGACCTGCGGCGATGAATTGAAAAATTACAAGTATCGTCATAACATCGTCGCATAATTACTATCTAAGCCGCGCTCCTGATAAACATCGATTACAGTCGGTTTTCACACTTACTTAATTGCGCCGATCGCATTCTTATCACTTGAGATCCTGTAGCGAGGTTCCCATCCGTTATCCGTTTTTCCCACGGTTCTATAATTATAGCGCAGAAACGTTGCAACATAAAATGCGCTATATTTCGCGGAGGCAAACGAATTGCGTAACACGTTACCTTGCAAAAACAATTTATTTTCACATAACGTCGCGATTCAACTGCAATTCAACGTGCGCGAAGTCACGTCATACGTTCCCTCTGCATTTTATTCGAAATTAAAACACGTCGTGCGCGTTTCGATACGCGCATTAATAATTACTGCAATATAATGCAAAAAAAAGGACTAGAACTATTACTTGTAACGATTGCGATTCAAATTAAAAATAAATAATCTCCTTCGGGCGAAAGTTCCGCGCGTCGGATCTCGCGGGTTAATTTCGTGCTAACTAACTCAACTTGAGTGGGTTCCTCGTGTAGTTTTGCAACGAAAAATCGCATTAGTAATATATTTCATGAGCGATCGAGAAAACCGCTCTGTTTCGCCGTTGCGCACAGCGAAATTAAAATAACTTTAATCATTGTATCGTGAGACCATATACTCCCACTCTTTCCTTCCGCCGGTCTGTCGGTTTATCGCTTCAAGTTCACGGCCGATATCACTTTAACTAACCGTCTGTACTAAATATATCGTTCTCTCTCACTCTTTAGGAAAAGAACAATCACTCTCTGAGAACTTTTCTAAGAACCGTTAAACGATCTTTCTGGGACGTATCTTTCTGGGATATCGCCGTTTATCACGGGCAACAGCGCCAGGTCCATGCTTCCGACGTCCAGTTCCGTGGTGTCTATCCCTCGTATCTTCTGTATTCGATGCCAGACGAAGTCCCGGATGGGCCTCCTCAGGACGAACAGACCGAAGATGAGGACACCCTGAAGCGCGTTCACCAAATCGAACGCCGTCCAGTCGAAAGGATCGCCGCCAACCCACCAGGAAATCAATTCCATCGTCCAATTGAGACCCATCAAAAAGAAGAGTACAAGGCAAACGATGAAGACCCGCTTGAGTCTGCGGAAGAGCCTTTGATCCTCCCGATCGGAATGCTGGTTCCTCGCCAAGCGTCTCAGCGCGAGCACTTTTTGGTACCGGCTGATCCTGACGGCAGTGATTACGAAGAGGACGGTGTTCGTTAACAGAAGAAGTCCGACCGGCACGTAGAAGTACGGCATAGCTTCTGCGTCGGCTACAGAAAGAACGACAACAATTAATACTCCAACTTTCCCTGTTGAACGAAAATGTTAAGCAAAGCGGAAAGACCGAAAGCTTGAATTCCGATAACTTTTTTTATTACGATGATAGGAATCGTTAGAATCATCAGATAACGATTGGCTTGAATCATATTTATCTTATCTAACTGTAGGAAAATATATTTATGAAGCTATTTTGGCGTACGAATTCACGTGATAGCGATGGGATGCGTAATTACGAATCCTGTAAATGGACGGAAACTCACACTTGAACCAGCAGCTCTCAAGACCGAAAGAGGGCTTGACGTAGGTCATGGGTATCGTAGGACTGAGATCCATCGCCATCGAGACGAGAATGAGAATCGCCGGGATGCCCCAGGCCCATATCGAGTAGTAGAAGAACAGCGTTTTAGGCTGGATTCTCCTGTACGCGTGTTGCTTCACGTGGTGGCGTATCAGCGACCATGTCTCGATGCACATCACGTTCAGCCAGAAGAAGCAGGCCACGAAGGAGAACTGGATGACGAATGCTGAAAACGACGCCGCCCGTAGTCTCTCAATCAATCTGCCTGTCATTCGCGTGTCGTCATATTTCCTAAAGCGGACCTTGCCGCGCGCTACATGACGCCGCCGAAATTATACCGTTCAATAAAAGAGACAGTCCAAAGTCCAATACTCAAATCGTATAGGCTGTCACTTGAAAATTATTAATTACAACGTATTACTGTCTTCAATTTCTATAATAATATTCAAATTTCCTCAATGACGTTCTGATAATAAAATCGATTCAGAAATTAAATTAGATTAAACGTTCAAGCAGTAGCGTAATTAAAAACAGATTTGAAATTTTTCTATTGGTCTTAAATCGCATAATTTTTAAAAAATGTTCGCTATTGTCATTTTCGAAATATGTATACTTTTACCTAACATTGTCACATTTACAATGTGTCGCTCGTTGATAATTAATTATCTTACCTACGCTAACGCAGGCTTGAGGTGATAATTGCGAGCTCGCGAGTTGCGTAATGGCCAAAGTGGTGAAGGCCAATGCCAAGCAACCGCAATAATGGCAAAGGGCCTTCCCGTGGACGTCCCTCAATCTCGGCGTTATCGCATACGCCACAATGGTGAGTATCAGAAAGGGAACTGAGATTAGGAGCCCGCAGGCGTAAATGATGACTCGCGGTTCCGTGGGCGGAACGGTGAATTCTGCAATCGTTACATTTCATTTAAGAGACTTATGTGCGAGACGTAAAAGAAATTTCATGTCAGTAAATTTGTCGATTTCTCGTACGATACGTGGATCTTTCACGATAAATAATTCGTTGAATGAATAACAATTATTTCCTCGAATTGAAACGCCACAGAGGCATTCAGCAAGATTATCAATGATGATTGAGCAACTTCATACGAAATATATCGATGTAGATAAGTGATTACGGATTAAAAGATAAGAAAAGTTTGGGAAGACATTTCTTTCTGATTTTCAGTTCCTTTGACACAAACCTTGAAAACAGACGAGCGCCCTGAGTCCCTGCTCGGGCACAACCTCCATGCAGTAGTCCTTACCGGGCATCAGCATAACCGGCACATTGTCGATTCGCGGCGCGAAGATGGAGCCGTTCATCAATAAGTAATATTCATCGTCGCTGCTTTTCTCCGGGTGTAGCATGTACCTGAAAACCGCTTCGTTAAATATGTGCGCGCGTATGTGCAAACTCAGACGCGCCGACTCAAGAAAGGCGCTTCGCGCCGAGTATTCAAAGTAAATGGAGTTTTAATTTACTTTGAATACCCGCACCAGGATACACACCCCGCCACGCGAGATCTTTCCGAGAAACGTGTAATCAATCGCCCATGAGAAACGAGTTTTGCTTGTGCACGAGGAAATAATTCCCGTCTAATTACTATTACTACGGAAATCGCAATAATATTGCATTTACGATGTAGAGGAACAGAATAAATGTATTACAAGACATTGAACGTCGCTTCTCAATGTCGCGTATCTATGTCAATATCTAATGTGTCTAATAAAAATTCGTGAACAACGTTACAAAAATGTGACAAAATTCATCTCGCGGATTATTCAATATAAAAATAAACAATGTTAGCTACAAAAAAACTCAATTAAAAAATCAATTATATCTGGTTGTCCGGAAAAATCGATTAAAAAAATGCAAAACGATATGCAACATTTTTTTATACATGTACATAGATATTATCTTCATTTAGCTGCACACGCTTTTATTCTGCAATTTTTCGCTATTTTGCATATTTAAAGATTCCATCTCCTCGAAACCTCTTATATTTCCCGGCGAGGAATAGAGCCACTCAAGATCCGGACAACCTGACGTCGTCGTAAATCTGTCGGAATTCGCGTTATAATCTTGATTGTTTATGCAAGTGTAATTCACAAGCTGTTACATATCCGTTCGTACTTGATATGTCTGTCCTGTATCAATAGTTCGTGAACAATAGCACGGCATTGTCACTGTCATCTGTCAATGTTACATTCAGCGAGATTAAAAGACTCTTTACGATTTCATCTCCGCCGATTATCACGGCACGATATACACCTTTTTTTTATTGGAAAAGGAAAAAATGATTATTACGATACGTTATCTGCCGCATGGAGGCGGCAATGAGTGCGCGCTTGGATTTTCTAACTCTTGTGAATTACTTTCAATAGGATGTACAATTATTTCTTTGATATATCATGAGTATCTGAGGAATGCAATATCGAGAATGCGCTTATCAAGTATATATATGTACTTATATATATATATATATAATATAAATCAATTGTAATTTTTTAATTGAAAGTTATAAATAAATTTATCTTACAACACAACAAGATATACTTAACTTGCGATTATGTAAAGCTGTGCTATAAGTACATAAGTATACATTTCACGCAAAATGTTTTTTGTTAGATATTCCAAATTTTACACAAACGAGGAGTTGATATTTGGCTAGTCGATAGGCCATTATGTTACAGTACGAAAACGGAGTCTTATCGTAAAATATGGCCAACCGGCGTTTCGATCTATTGATAAGGATATCGATAGTACGAGGTCTACGCATTTTATATTATATAACGGACGAACTTCGGTAAAAAAGATAATTCGTGACGTGATTCTCTCGACAAATTCGATTATCTAAATTCCTTACAGATCCTTCTACGTGTTCCCCATATACGTACTTTAGGTTGCAGGGATTTCCCACGATCGCGACGAATGTCTTGTATTCGTCACCAGGCACCAGCGCGCCGGTGCGATTGAAGTCGCTGAAGAAAGGTGAAAACATCGTCGATGAGTCGTTCGAGGAGGCGCAAACGGTATTCCCGTCCGCATCTTTTACTAGAACCTCGCCTATGGAGCAACATTTTCCCACCAACGGCAGTTGCTTATACTCCTCCGGCACTACTGTCTCATTTTGCTAAAACGAAGAGATCGAAATTATTTTGCGTTTGTCGCGTGTTGTTGAAGCGATATCTCGGTGCTTCAAAATTCGGGGAAAACGCAGCTTAACGGAGAACGAGACGTGTCGCGAGCGTAAATAAGATAATGAGAATGATGACAGAAACTGTTGGCGTTGTAAACTTTTCACTTGTGGAAACTGTGATTACATACATTTAAAGACAAATTTGTAAAACCGGACAAAAAATTTTGAGATTTTCTTTCAATTTCGAAACTCCTACGGTCCAGTCTCTATATGTGTCATAAATGAGTAAAATCGTTGAGTATAAACAAATTATTTAAGTAAACAACAAATGCGTAATAGCGCAATCCATAAATTGATAAATGAACCGCATTTCAAAGAATTTGTAATAATTATGTCAGTTTGCTGATTTGCATCGAGACGCGATCTCAGAAATGTCTTCTTTTAGACACTTTGTTTTCTTCAACTTCTCAATTCCTTATGCAATCTCGCGATTCAGGAAAGATCGGATTTCTGCGTAGAGCTTTTACAACCGAGATTATCTGGGTAACGTCAAGAAACTGGTATCAATAGTGGCTAACTCGGTCTAAATATAGCTCCGCGAGAGGTGCGAAATACGTGAAGCTCGGACAAATAAATAGAAAATCTAAGCTTGGTGTGTCATAAATGTCGAAGATGTACTTACCAATGGGATAGGATATATGGTGGATACCACGTCATCCGTGCACGCCATTGGCGTCAACAAATACGCGAAGAAGACGCAGATGTGAATGAGTCGCATCTTGGAGCGGTAGTTGGGTCTTATCAAAGTCTATCGAGTCGATTGAGAATGTGTCTCGTGCTCGGGATTTATATTGCGTCAACTTTCAAATTAACACGCGTCAAGCACTTCGCATTGAGCATAATCGAACTTTGAAGTTTTCAATTGTTTCAACTTGTTGGCCTTCGAAAATGGAAGTGGCAATTCGTCCTTGCTCCGGATGCACCAACGCAACGATTATACTATGTGCAACACTTGTCGCGACGACATTTAGGCGAGACAGGCGCTTTCGCTCCTCTTTCGTCACTCGATATCATATTAGATCTTGCACATTTATCTCGTCACACCCTGTTGGTTGCATTCGCCGATAAGTCTTCCGTATAACGCGGGCGTTATTTACTCGATCGGCGCTGGTTTTAATTGAAGATTTCAGTCAGCTCCTACTCTCTCTCTCTCTCTCTCTCTCTCTGTTTCTCTCCTTCTTTCGTGTTTGATTAGTCGGCTTCGCGAATTAGTCAGACAAGCTCCGAAGCTCTCGAGAATTATGGAATCGAGACTGGCGTTATCGGTTGATTCTCCCACGATTCACCTATATCTGTATCGTTATCTCGCACTCTCACCGATGCACCGACCTTTTTCAGCGCGATTTCTTCGCACGGGCGCACCGTGTCATCAATCACACTCCGTCGGTGTAAGCATTAAGTCATCCGGAAATTCCTGTCCGGGGTCCCGTGGCGCGAAATACCTACGGCGTCAACGATGAAGTTATCGTACAGTTAAGACGTCGGTTAGATTTGGTTGTGAGACAACAGCGGGAGATTTAAGTCGAGACACCGAGACTTTTGTTGATGGAACGACCTCGAGAAACGAGATCCTCGCTCATTCGCACAGTTATTTCGGAATCCGGAGACCGGATTAAGGCAATCTCGTCGGCACGACGGAGACGTCACTTTCAAGAATCGAGAGCAGAGTCGTATCGGGATGACAAGCGATCAATGACGAGTGGCCATTGACCTGCGATTCCCGCTACTTCGTCATCCGAGAGGCGGCTCGCTAAAAAGCAGCGAAAGAAGCGAATATTATCGCAGAGTCCTGCGGTAATTTCTGCTTATTAACTCATCCTATGTTATTTTCCCCTCCTACTTCAAGACCGACCTTCGAAATTGACGTCTCCGCGCGCGTATCTGAGAAGGCAGAACTTACGTGAGACTTGGCAATCCGTTATAGATCCTCGCTGTCGCGTTGGTGCCCACGTGCGCGTGGCGATCGGTTCTCTCTCGCGAATTATTGTACACCGTGTACAGCGATTGATTAATTATCGAAGATTCATGCACGTACACGCACGCACACGTACGTTCCGGCGCGATTCACAAAAACGTCGTTTTTCTCAGTCAAAGTGCGATATCTAAGTGATATAAAGTCTCGGCACGTGGCGAGACTTTCGATCGATTTTTTTTCCAAAAGATTTCCCACTTATCCAATCGATTTTCTCGTTAACCTTCAATTACTCTTCCGCGAGATTACTTTCATTTCCACTTTAAGCAATGCGAGATCCTTTTAGTAGTCACGACAATCGGAGATCGGCAGCGTACCTGGCGATCGACAAGATCCACGCGGCACGCGGCTCACCGATCGACGTCCGAGAACTGACTGGCCGGACACCTCGATCCGCTGTGCCTTTATCGAAGAAGAGAGAGAGCGACAGAGAAAAAGAGCGCGATGCCACGCACTCCGACGTGCCGATGGCTAAGCTCATACGTACGTACGTACCGTACGTGATATATACCGAAAGTATTTCACGGGGGGGCGTTATCGATTGCCGGGGACAGATATTTGTTCGATCCGGTCGATTCGCTAAATGATCGCGTAACCCGCTATTCATAGAAAATCCCTTAGGGTGAATCTATGACCAATCTTCGATTAATTTAATCGCAATTTACTCGTTAAATATTGCATGTCTGCACCTTGTGAGCGCGTATTTCGTTCGACAGAATTGTATAAATTTCTTATTGGCATAAGAAGATTTCTCCTTTGAGAGATAAGATTAAATCAGGAATAGCGAAACGTATAGTTAGAATCTACAGTGTAAGCAATTCCGCCGGTTGAATCAATCGCCGGTTAGGTCAATTGGAATTTAGTCGAAGTCATCTCCTTATAGGGAGGCTTCTCTCTCGCCAACATTATCTCCCGGCGTGATTGCGCAGCGCTCGCAAATAAATTCGCATAGTTGTAAATTATGCTCGCTGTAAATCATAAATTAATCTACTTACGCTAATTACGTAGATTTCCTCTGTTGCACAGAGAAATATAAATACGTCAATGTTTGCAGAAAGTGTCACGTGTAACTTACGTGAGTCATACACGTGCGTCGCGCATTCATTACAAGTCTTTTCAATGAAAAATAACGAGGAATGCCCAAACGGACGGCTTATTAACATTTTGTTGAAAACTGTTCGCTCTTCTTAAGTGGAGACGAGCCGTGAATCGATACCGACCCTCCTGTCAGAAAATCTCGACTTATCATACGAACATCTGACGCAACGTACACATTTTTTATAAGATAACGCGAGCACTCGAGCATTATAACAACGCTATTGCATTACACCATTACTGAGATTAAGAACAATGTAAATACACAGTAAAAAAAATTTCGGAATTTTTTATGCGCGCCCAGCAATGCAACCGTTTTGCAAACACGAAGTAGTTTTTGCTCGAACTAGTTTTATTTTTTATAAGGAAATAACTGCAAGTTATCTGGTAAATACCCAAGGAAATCTTAATCTTATACACTGATTATGAGGACAATTTTCAGGTTTTTCCATGGAAAAAGATTATCCTTCTAAAAGGTAACAAACAGATATTTACAATTAACTTGATCTTCGATTGATTTGATTGACAAAAAATCCGATCAACAGTTCATCGGAAATATATTAATCGAAATGGCCGAAGAGAAATAGCCGTTCATTTATTTTTCAACAGATAATCCGATCAAGTGCATTCACGCATATATTTTTAATCAGAAATTTGCAATCGATTAATTTTTATTAATTATCTAATTATTAATTATCTTTATTAATTATCGGATAAAATTATCCAATGAAATCGGATTGTTCTTAGAACTTTTTGATAAGATTTTACTATGATTGTACACTATACTCCCATTTCTCCATTTATGTTTATTGTTCGTGAAATTTTATGTCCCTGAAAAAAATTTATATATATATATGTTACTAAATGTTGAAAAAATTATATAGACATATGTATATGTATATTATACACACACATACACACGTGTGTATAATATACATATGTCTATATCATTTTTCTAACATCTAGTAACACATAATAATAATAAATGCAATTGACGAGTAATAAACAGCCTATTGTAATGAAATCCTATTGTATCAAAAATTATACATAAGGAAATTACGATGACAAGAAAGTTTGTGAAAGTGACGTAATTGCTGGCGCGTCGCGTCGCCGCGTCATTTGCCAGCTTCGAGTTTCCGGTGAACTTATTAATATTTCAACAATTACAAGTAATTCAATTGGCGCTTCTCCGTAAATCTTACTCAATCAATCAGATCTCCTCCCGTGGGGTGTGTCTGTTCCACATGTTTCAGCTTCATGTGAAACCCAGCGGGGTGCAACAAACGGAGTGCAGACGAAGGCTGGGCTGCGTGGGCATCGCAAGGGCGTTATGCCAAGGTATAGAATTTAGACTGCGTCTCTATTTCGGTCGACGGGATGCAAACAAACTCATATCTAACGTCTATTCCGAATGTTCTTCAAAGAGTCATTATTATTGTGGTATTATTATAAACGTCGTTTAGACGCTCAACTCTGAGCTTGTATCTTTCGTTTTCGTTATTGCGTCGAAGTGAAAAGAGAAGATATAAAAAAAAGAAGTTCTCTTCAGATCTCCCGGATGAGAAAACAAAAGTATCTAAAAATTACTTGCGTACGTGAAAACGCAATTGAGAACAGTTTTTCTGTAAATAGAGGAAAAAATAAGAAACTTATTGACGTAAAAAAAAAATGAGATACTTATTGACGTATACACAATCGTTATCTGGATGCAATCTGATGCTATTAATAGCGCATAAATGTAGATTCAAACTGCGGGATTTGTATTATCGTCTTTCACTCTGATTGAGCTCCGGACTCTTTTAAGACAAGAATTGTTTACACGATCCAAATTCGAACGGGCGGATTCATCGTTCGTGAAGTGAATTCGACTTTCGCGTGGGTGACTTCTTCATTCTTTAACTAACCTAAGCCCGGGTTATAGTCCAAAGGTCCGATATAGATATACGCCGTGACGTATATACGTCGCAGTACAGATGGTAACTTCAAATTTGACAATCGGTTCACCACTCGCGTTTGGATGTGATATCAATTAATTCCACGGACGAATATATCATTATGACGATTGATAGTCTCGGGCTCTCCGAGACTGCGCTATAAATAAAACGTTTGACGTAGTGCGCGCAATCTCTTCCTACATTCGCGTCGGCGGAGGAAGGTGAGCGTACGGGCGTCTGGCGGAAGAATGAGAGATGAAAGAGCGAGAACCCGATGACGTGCCATGAAAGAGAGAGAGGAAGAGAGGGCGATGCGTAGGTGCGTAACTATGAAACTCATGTCGTGACGTCCAGGATATCCTACATATGTATGAAAGCAATTTCCGAGCAGACGTCATGCAGGAAGGAAAACGATTCTATTATCAATTTTTTATTGTATGAATTAAAAGTAGAATTTCCGAAAAAGGATCTATGCATAGCAAGAAAATGACGGTAATCGATTCGAATCTGACGTAGATCATTGCAGTAGTTAATAATTATACTACTTTAGATTTTTTCCGCTCGAGTAATGATCATATTAGGAAGTAAAAATAATCAGATAAGAATCTTATTGAAAAAAAAAAAATTGACTATAATTTTTAATTAATTAGTGACTATAATTTCTCAAATTTGTTAATTAAATGTTTCCTTTAATTAACTTAATTGAATTTAATTATCACTGCGCATTATTTTTACCGCGCTGACTCGTACTCGTCGCTTTTTCTAATCATTATATATTTTTTTTAAGAAAAAAGTCGGCTATTTTAAATTAAGATTCTAGAGGAGTTTTACATATATTTTATAGCGCAAATAAAAATTTAATGATAGAGATTCAATTTGCATTTGATTCAATTAAGTAACTCAATTTAAAGTCCTCTGCCTTTAGAATTTTATGATCCTTTTCGCTGAAGAGTAAAAAGAAAGCAAAATAAAGACCGGGAAGATTTATGTAGGCAAAACCGGATAACGTTAATATTCACGTGGAGAGCTCAATGCCACTCTGTCTGATATCCGCTTCAAGCTTGCCTCGTGAACTATACTGCTCTCTGTTAAAGTGTCCCGCAGACTTCGAGGTTTACAAACGGTCGGTAAGACAGCGTATTTACGTGGCATTTAATGAATTTTTCATTTAAAAATTTCTTTGTAAGGTCGTGAGCACGCTGGAGAAAATATTAAGAACAGGAATAATAAATATAAGAATTTTCATCTCTCAAAAATCATGTATTCCAAAGTTTCTGATGGATTGCAATTCTTATATTTATTCCTGGCTCTTAATATTTTTTCCATTGCGGTCACGGTCTAAGAATCGCAATCGTGAACAATGGTGAACTGTCGCGGAAGCTTCTCGCTCTGAGAGAACGATGTTTCCTATGAGTGACGAAAATTTCGCGAAAGATGTTTCAAGTACCCCGGCCAAAAGCACTCGTTGACAGCAATAATCTCGTAAAATATTAAACTTTCAATAAGAACGAATATACGTAAAACCGTCCCGGAATTATACGTTATACCTGATGTAAAAGTACGTCGCGGTCGCGGACAGTCTAACAATAAGTTTTTATTACAAGGTTCAGGCCAAGTCACACATACACGCATGCACACACGTATAATGCGGAGAGGGTCTAGTTCTCTCTCTCTCTCTCTCTCTCTCTCTCTCTCTCTCTCGGCGACTAAAATCTTTTCTCTACGCGAAACTTCGAAACGTAAAACTTTTCCGTGCCTTTCCTTGATATATGCGCTCCGCATGAATTATTGAAACGCGGAGTCAGCAGGTTGGCCGCATTTGTATATTTGTGCATAAGTATACTTCGCGCGGTTTACATTATCAATACCTTTCTTTTATTTCGTTTCGCGCTATCGACCTCGCGCGTTCGCTGTTCGGTTTTTGTTTTTTAAATTAAGCCGTGGCCAATGTGCTCTTTGATCCTATCGAGAACTGCGCGCGGTGTGCAAATATAATTAACTAAATAACTCGGTACGTAGAAGCAATTTGCATATGCAATAAAATTACGCGTCAGAGTTATAAGAATTAAACGCACATTTCCCCGCGTTTCCACGAACGTTTATCGCCGGCAACTTCTCTATGTGTAGGCTACCTTTCAAAGGTAAAGATCAATTTCTAGATATGATGACAACAATAATTCAATACAATTATTTGCAATCAATATACACATAAGAACTATTTTAGAGAAAAGATTTCTCTCTTTTTTTTCTTTCTCTCTCTCTCTCTCTTTCTTTCTTTCTCTTTCTCTTTCGATGGATACTCCGCGCTGGAACTTCGTTTTATCTCGGGCATATTCGATGGGTATATCGTTCGTGCGATCG